GATTTTCATGCAGAGTTCCTCCAGTGGTTTTGCTCCATGGAACCAATGACATCATAGTTCCCGTGGAATCATCGGTGAAGTTCTCGGAGCTCCTCAGTTCCCTTTCCGTCAGGATGTCTCTCTATCTAATACCTAAAATGAACCACACTGAGATGGTCACGGACCTTATGGCTCCAGACAGGCACTTTTACCACACTGTTTATGGCTGTATTAAACAGGAGTACAGTAAATTTCAAGGTTATGTTGAGTAATATTTTTCATTCAATTCAGTACTAATTTCATTTTCCAGTATGCCAGACAGTCATTATTTGTTCTTTATGATTTTACTGAAAGTTTACATCCAAGTTCTAATGATTTGTTTTCTTCTGAAATGTTTCATTTTCGATCAAAACTGTGTTCAATAACCCATTATACAAGATAGCAAGGTGAAAGAAAACATAATATTATCTCTGTGCTTGTTATCTGTTAAGAAATTCTGTTAATGTTCAATGAAATGTAAAAAAAGAAGAGATTGTTCCAATTAAGAATATACAACATATTTTCGTGTTTGAAATGTAATATGGATGGAGAAATTCTTATTTTGCCTTTTTATAACGTGTGTAAATTATTCCATAATATATTTATTTAAACCATACATAAATGTTTCTTTTTGTGTCCTAATTACAGAATTAGTCACTTGGCTATTGATGTTCTTTTGTTTGTTACATATTTACATATATTACATTAAATAACAAGCTTCAGCTGTGCATGCTATAGAAATATTATTGATTTATGTTTGCGTTTGTCGTTATTAGAATAAAATGTTAATACCAAGAACACAATAATGTTAATATTTGGGTGTTGACATTGAACCATTCAATATTCGCCTCATAAGTAAACAGCTCCTTTATGTTGGGGGCATATGCTTAAAAAAAACATTTATTTTAGGAATATAATTCAGTTAAAATGGACAAAGTTATAGCACACAAAGCACAGGTATGATCTATTATTGAGAAACGTATTAAATATACATGTCAATACATGTATATATATATATATTAATTGGATTGAAACTGTAGCTAACATCCACATCAGCATCATGTAAAATTGGCATTCCTTTCCTCTTTCACTGCTGTGGCAGTCAAGTACATTAAATACTGCCAGATTGACTTATTATTACCTTGCTGACCAGAGACAAAAACGATCCTCCAAATGAAACGGGCAACTGCATCGTAATGACCAGCAGGTGTCGCTGTTTCCCGTGTAATCCAAGTACTACAGCGAGCGCTGGGAGGCAGCGTCTCCCACACCGCTGAGATGAAGTAGAGCTGGAGCTGGGACGAGCTCGAGCCTGTGTTGTTTGGGATGTCGAGGATTAAATATGGCCACTAGCTAGCTGATCTAACAGAACCAGTATCCGCTTCAGAAAGCTCTGGCATCACCCGTGAAAAATGGCTGGGAAGAGCGCAGGAGGATCTCTTTAGAGTGGCTCTCACTGAAGCTTGAACACATCGGCTGGTCTGGTGAGTTCTCATGGATTTGCGGATACATTGGAGACATGCAAAACACATATACACACTGTCCACTGGCGCTAGCTTCCTTCCTTCAAAATACAGCTCCCTTTCCCCGTTTTTACGTCTCTTTAGACATATCAAGATGTTATTCGGTTTATATAAATGATATGCTATGCAGTCCAGCTTTTGTAAAAACGCAACCCACAGCTCGGCATGTATTGGTTGTGTAGCCGGGGCTAGCTGTGGCGAGGACTCCGCTAGCCTGTTAGCTGCAGGCGAATAATCATTGATGGGCAGACAATTCACAAATACGATCCTTTATTAGCATATACCTCGAGTTAATCATATGCGTGATTATTGTTACTTATTTTGAGGTTATTTAGGCGATGTCTGGTGGGCTGTGATTGTCTTGTAAGCTCGCACTGTCACTGAAGATATCGCCTAATCCACGACTGTATTGCATTTATTTGTGGTTCCTGTCAGTTGACAAACATGTGAATATAATATAGTATAATTATTCCGAGTAGTCTGTTTTATGTGTTGCTGTTCTCTTCGCTCGTGTTATTTCCATTTCCTATCCTTATTTTACATGCTCATTCCTTCTATTTGTGTCGCTTTATTCTAATACATAGGTTGCATGTTTTATAAATTGCGTATATTGTGTATAATGTAGAGGTTTCTTACCTTTCTGTGTTAGTGTTGACTGTCTGGCTGCTAATGTACACACATTTCTCACACTGAATCAGTTTTTTATTTGTCTGTCTATCTCTCTTCTTTCATTGAAGTGCAATTGTAATAGATATGATATGACTGAAATTGTGAATATTATTTATTTCTGTTTATATGTCTATCTATCTATCTATCTATCTATCTATCTATCTATCTATCTATCTATCTATCTATCTATCTACCTCCCTTCAGTATCTATGACTCTCTAGACATTCAGTGAAAAACACTTGACATGGACTTTCAGTAAGGCTGAAACTAACCCCAGTAATGTCATAAGTTGTGATATGAAGGCTGTGGTGATTGATTTGGGACACAGTGTGATGGTGAAGTGCTGGGCAGCTGCGTCAGGTGAGAGGTCATGGACTCATGGACAGCTGTGTGTGGCCTCCACACCTCCAGGCTGCTCAATCTATCTATCTATCTATCTATCTATCTACCTCCCTTCAGTATCTATGACTCTCTAGACATTCAGTGAAAAACACTTGACATGGACTTTCAGTAAGGCTGAAACTAACCCCAGTAATGTCATAAGTTGTGATATGAAGGCTGTGGTGATTGATTTGGGACACAGTGTGATGGTGAAGTGCTGGGCAGCTGCGTCAGGTGAGAGGTCATGGACTCATGGACAGCTGTGTGTGGCCTCCACACCTCCAGGCTGCTCATTTATATGCCATTTAATTTGTGTTGTGTGTTTTGGGGAGGGTATGCAGAGCTATGAATAAGATTAGAGATGGGCTGTGATTGTGGTTTTATTGTATAAACAACCCACCCGTTTGTATTGTGCAAGTCATGGAACCTGTGCTTTTATCCCAGAGCCAGCATAATATTGGCTTGCGGCCATATCTGTCACACATGACCTAAATTGCACCTGCTTAGAGGCTATAAACCTGTTTTTCATTTGATCTTTCCAATTAAATCTTGCTTGACTTATATTTGTTGTAGGTCAAGCTCTTTTGCAAACTGTGATTTTTTTTTTCTCTCCCCCTTTTATGTGTGTATCACAGTTCTGTTCATGTGTTCAAATTTAGCCTATATGAAGTATGGCTGTAATGTAAAAAAAATGTGGCTGCTGAAGTGTATGTGAAATTATGGGCGTACGTTGCTTGATAAATGTCTCGTGCAGTGGACTTCACAGGGTATTTGACCATCTTGAGTGAGATTAGCAGTGAGCAATAATGTTCAGTTTGGTGTAGGAAGCAAGTGTACAGTGATTATATCGCTTTACAGGAAGTGGAGAGGGAAATTTACTCACCACATACTCGGTGCTAGAGGAATTTTGGCTAAAATAAACACAGTTGAAAGGAGTGGATGCTGATGGAATTTGTATTCGACCTAATTAACCTCAGGTGCAGTTTCTGTGCAGTTGTGTTCAAGTATAAAACACATTTGATACAACAGTTACAATGCAGTTAATATGATCATGGGTCTCAAAACAAAAAAACATTCAGGCTATGTCCACATTAATCCAGATCAATTTGAAAAAGCATACTTTTCCACTACATTTTGGCCTTTTGTCCAAACTCAGACAATGTTTTGTCAAAAATTAAAACATTTGAAAACCGTTGTAGTGTGCATTTGAAAAAGATGACACATCTTTAGTCATGTGATGTATATTGTATGTATGTATTGCTATTTGCTTGAAGATTATTTAAGATGAATGTTACTTTTTGTGCAACCTTCATAAGATGACAGAATGTACTCTCGCAGTTACTTCCCTGCAGCAAAAGAGGATGACATTTGCATTTTAGACCATACATGGAATGTTTATATGAATGTTTTGATTTTGTAAATGTGGTCGTAGCCTTATTTTCTTATTAAACGTGGCAAAAACATTTATTACAAAATGTAGAGACCTCCAGTATGACTAGACTACGCAGATTCATTTGAATATTTAATAAGATATTTTTGATAGTAATAGACTTAGTAGACTTATTCAATACTTTGTTTCTGTATGTGTATACTAAAACATTGGGGGAAATTGTAAATGAGTCTTTTTGTCATGTGCTCAGTGTATAAAGAGCGGTGAATCCGCACACAGCATAGGTCACACATTACACATGTGATATTTTACACAATCCTTCAAGATATTAGTGTTGCCCAAATGAGGTTGTTGGAAACATGACTCGCACTATATGCAAGGAATTTAGCTGAAGTATTTTCTCTCATGATTCAGTGCCAGCAAAAACAAGTCACTGGTCAAGCATCGACTGTGTTTTTTGAGGAAAGATTCTCTTAATTGATGACAGTCTGAGCTGGTTTTGATCGTTTTTTTTTTTTTCAGTCTGTTACTCAGTGATTTGCTGCAATCAGGGTTTCTCTGTTTGTGGCATTATTGTTTTATCTATTTGAAAATACCCTTTAAGTGTGATTCGAATCTTCAGTGGTGTCTCATGTTTGTACTGGATTGTAGATGTTGGATAGTCTGTTTCGAGTGGTTCAGGTTATTTTGTCGGTGTTATTTCAGTCTTCGGTACACAGTGTGTATATCTTCTGAATCAGATGACTGACTTCCCCTTTTCAAGATATCCAGAGCTCTCTCTTATGTAGACTAGAGAGTTATTACCCTGATCTGTTGATCAAATTTATTTTTTATTTTTTCAGTGTGATCATTTTATAACCGGCCATCTGCTCTTTAAATGTTATCGATGGATCCCCCTGTACTGCCGATTTGGTATCTCCTGGTATGACACTGGTCACCCCCCCATGATGAAGCCACGTGATAGAGCTGGTGACAGGGAGGATCAGCTGTGCCAGTCCCTGCAGGCTGCTTGGCTCTCTGGTGCACAGGTCTCCTGGGCAGTGCCAGCGAAGAGCGTAAATCGGCGCTCGCTCCCACACCGTCCTATAATGCTCTGCCTTCTCTCTTTATCCTAGTCGGCACGGCACAGATTAACAACGATTATTTTCTCAGCAATCTTTGGATCGAAATTGCTTCGTAACAACGAGGGATGCTTGCAGAGCACAGGGAGAACAGTAGGTATGGAAAAAAACATGTTTGATCAGCGGGTCTCCATAGTGACAAGGCGTGTGTTTACAGTTTGGAGCCGTGTGTCAGATTTATTTGCTGCAGTGGTGGTCTTGAAATGGCTTCTTACTTTCTGCTGAGGATCCTGGCAACGCTTCGCGAATCACACATTTTTGGATTCCACGTGAGATTCTTGTATGCACTGTCATAGTTTTATATAATTCAAGGTAAAACAGATTAATAGGCAAATGACAGATGGTGAAATGATGGTGCCGTTCTTCCCGAAGGAACGATGATGTGGAGCAACAAGAGGTTGCTGTGAGTTTCAGATGTAAGAAAGGGTTATATCTCATTTTTTGCATCAGGCATAGTGGGTGTCAGTGATTTCTTCACTGCTTCATCCTGGGAGTCATCCTCTTTTCTGGGAATTGTAATTTTTTTTTTGAAGACACCTGGTTTCTGGCTGCTTGTTGTGAATCAAGTCAGGACATGTTTGAAACCAAAGGCTTCATTAGACTCTGACTCATTCAACACTGTGATTTACACAGAAAGGGCTCTTGATTTCAAGAGGTAGATGTGGATTTGAGTGTGGGGGAACTAGTAATGTTGGTTCATATTTTGGATCATGCCACTTCAGCTTGTTGCTGTTCACAGCCATGAGATCACCAGTTTATGAGTGCTCCTCTCCAGAGTTAAACAGTGATTTTTTTTGGCTGTGGAGAAGATTTCAGTTAAATGTGGGCTTTGCAGAACAAAGTTACAGTGTCTTTGTTCAGGTATAAAATGACCTTAAATACAGTGGTTTCAGAGTTGAGATAAGTAGTAATTTGTTAATCATTAGGTTGGAGATTAAATGCTCATTACTGTTACCTTGCCTGCATGATGGCATCTGTGGTGAAATGAATTTCACAGTAGACTTTTACTATACTTCGGTTAGACAAAAAGAACTTTATTCTCAGTCAACTTTTGCTTTTGTACTGATTTTGTTGCGTGTTGCATCTCTTATTGTATTGATATTCTTCATGTGTGGTGCGCTGCACAGTATAACCTCTCAGTTTGCACTTGTATTACCGTTCTTGTTGATTCTTGAGGTTTAGTCGTAGTGCTTGACCTTAAATTGCGTAAGTGTTAATGAACTAAATATTTGAGGGTGTATTATGCACTTCCTTGTAAGTTGCATTAGGTCAAAAATGTCTTACAAGAACTTAAATGTAAATGTGGTAATTAGTTGTTAATGGTAAATCTGTTATGAAATGGCAATTTCCACAACCTTTAATAGTACACTTTAAAAAGGTGGTGGTGGTGATGACGATGAAAGAAATGCATACTTTATTAATTGAATTAACCAAAAGTGCCTGTAAAGTCATTTATAATGTAACAAATTATTTATATTTTATTTGACTAAATGCTGTTCTTTTAAACTTTCTGTTCATCAAAGAATCTTTTACCACAGTTTCCACAACAGCGCAACTGTTTTCAACATGGATGATAAGAAATATGAGCAGCAAATCAATATACTTAGTAGAATGATTTCTAGAATAATGACTGTTGCTTTGCCATAATTTACATTTGACTAAATTATTTTAAATTGTATTACAGGCACAATATGTAAGATTTTTTTTATTAAAATATCCAAAAAACCACTAGAACAGTTTTATATATTTTGCTGACTTGTGTACTTACATAATCCCAAATGTTTCGAAGAATGTTTAAATCCAGAGAAATAAGCACTTTTAACTAGTGACACGGACCGTGTCTATAGTGTCATTGTGTCGCCTGCCAATGACGTCATAACCCCTTGATTTCCTTGGTTTTGTTTTGTAGAAAACATGGAAACACAAAAGACGCTTTAATATGTTGTGCGTTTTAACAGACCGGTGACGACCGCACAGAGTAGCGTAATAACAGAACTTTCAAATGTATCTAGTATGATAAAACAGCACTGCTTACCGGAAGGAGCGGAAGCGGTCGACTTTGGCATACTAAAAGCTCCGCTGCTTTCGAGCCGTGTCGCGCTCGTTCAGCGGCCTCGTTTTGCTTCGACGGATTTCCGCCTCACTCTGCTTCATACTATGACGTTAATCTTTAAAGGGGTCATATAATGCGATTTTAATTTGTCCTTTCTCTTTGGAGTGTTACAAGCTCTTGGTGCATAAAGAAGATCTGTAAAGTTGCAAAGACTAAAGTCTTCATTACACCAAATACACAAAATAATGTTCTTTTTAGCAGCATTATATGACCCCTTTAATACATTAGCTCATCCATGAACATGATTTCTGCCCGAGTCCCGTCGGATTGCTTCGGCTGTGGGGATGAAGACGACAATTACCATGATTCCACAGTCACGGCGTCATCAAACTACGCCTTTGTTTCTTTGTTTGTTTTGAATACACGCCCTCTAGTGGCAAAAAATTGCATATTGTTTTTACTGTATTTTGCTCAGCTAAATGCTGAAAAATACTTTGAAATCTAGTCTATAAATATTTAAATTAGACATTTGGGCTAGCTTTTTGTAAACAGTCTTGTGGGATTTGCTCTTTGCTACATTTATGTTGTTTAATCAGTTACCTCATAGAATGGCTACTCGTAAATCAAATTAATCAGTTTATTGTTGTTGTGTAAACATTAATTAATGGTGAATTACATTTTAAAGTTGTAACTGCTGGCACATTTGAAATGGAAAAAACGATAACAAATCCAAGTGGCCGTTGACTGAATATTGTAGGAACGAGGTTTATGTGTGCTCAGGAATCCAGTAGGCTGTTTCGTATCGAGACACTCTCGCTTGTTGTTGACTTGTAGCCTGTAGTCAGTGAGAAAAGTTCACTCTCGCTTCGGCATTTCCATCATTTCCACCATAACAGTGACAGAGATGTAAGGGTTTTGTGTTTACGTCACCCAGTATTCCCAAGAGTCTTTGAAAGGCTTTTGAGAAAGCTGAAGCTGTGCTTTTTTTTCTTCTTCTTCTCCGAACAGTCCTTTGGAGCTTACTTTGCTTTCTCAGACAGTCATTGGAGCTGGCAGCCCTCTAAGAAATGCTATGAAAGACTTAAAGCGTAAAAGGCTTAGCCACATTTTACTGAAGATTTCATGTCCCAGCAACCTTACTCCCCACCGATTTACATCAAATCTGTCTCTGTATGTCCCAAGGCAGGATTATACATTGAGGAAGGACAAATAGGACTAAAGGACTAAACTTTTATTATTATTTTTTTTTTCATTTTTGAAACACCTGTTAAACTAATTATAATTCGAGTTACAACCACTCTCTGAACTAGGGCTGTGTGATTAATCGAAATCGTCATAAAATCGTGATTTGAGCTTGCACGATTTTCCGCGCCCCCGACCTCCCCGCAGTATGCTATCTGAACCAATCACAATGCAGTGCACCTAAATGGAGCACGAGAACAGAACAGACCGGGCGGGCATACAAACGTAACGCCAGGTTCACACACTCCGTCTGTGGTGTGTATTTTTTAGGCGCCCATGTTAACGGATCAGAGCGTTCACTGCAAGCGATTGCGGTCGGGCAGTGCGCTCCAGGAGCGGTGCGTCTGCAGCAGTCATTAAAGTGACAGCGCATTATTCGCGGTAAAAATTAACATGGATTGACACGGAAATTTAGTAATTACACCATAAATGCATATAATTAAAGTCTACTGTTTCACAGTCAACACATGGCTTTTTGGCTAGATTTAAAACAAGGAAAAGTGCACTTTTAGATAAACAAGGGAATAATAAATGGCACTCGTGGTGGTAGTGCTACAAATCTAGTTCAACATCTGAGGCAGCGCCACAAAGAGCTCTATGACCAATGCATGGCAAAAAAAATCCCTGCACACGGGAATTGTCTATTCTACAGACATTTTGTTACACCTTTACTTAGTGATTATTTTGCCTTATGTCTGTTCTAGAGACATGTTACAACTTTTTGATAAAGCTCTAATTGGTTTTCTTTTGGAAATGTTTCAAATTCACACTGAATGCATTAATGACTGTAAAGCATGTCTGTGTGTGTCAAAATCGTGATTAAAATCGAAATCGCAAAATTGATCAAAGTTTTTGTCCATATCACACAGCCCTAGTCTGAACACAAAGGCATTTGTTGATTATTTTAATTAAAACATTAGCGTTCTCACAAGCTATTTCTTTTTTTGATGAAGATTTTTTTTTTGCCTTTCTGAGTTTTAGTATTCAGTATTTTTTTCTGCTGTGTGTAACAGAAGAATTCTCAATTTGAATTAAAAAAAAAATCTCTCTCTCCTTTAAAAAAAAAAAAAAATATTCAGCATATTTTCTCTAATTTTTGTTACGTACAAGACAGGAAAATAAAATAGTGAAAGAAATTAACTCAATTATAAACATCTGATACCATTGACAAACACTGGTATTAACCATTGAAGCACATAAAAGTTTTTAAATTTGGCACAAATTGCTTACAGTTACACAGACATACTTAATTGGTAAATTTAATGAATGAGAATGAGTATTGCTCACAGTTCATAAAAGCATTCAAGACCCATCCATCTCAATGCAATAAATGAATTAAGTTATAAATGAAATATCTTTCCATGCAACCTATTGCATAATGTTATTTTTGGTTATCTTGAGACATGTTTTTTAAAAGTTGAACTAGGGCTGCACGATAAATCGCATGCGATATTTAACGCGCTCTGTGTAGTTAATGCTGCTCAATGTGAAAGCCCGCAGGTGATGGAGATTTACCGCTGATTACAGAACCGGCTTTACTGACAAGATGCGCGTTAAATATCGCATGCGATTTATCGTGCAGCCCTAAGTTGAACTTACATTAATTTTACATGGCTTTCTAAACATGCCGCTCTCTTGTGCGAGACGCGAGTGCAACGCTGATAGATGCCTCGCTAGAAAATGTGATAATTATGCGTTCTGTGTGAACGGCTTGGTTTCAGTTTCTCCGTAAACAACATATTCGCCACACTGACGCTCTCGTTTTCCGCTATATATTTAATGAACAACATAGCAGCGCCACATCTAGTGGGTTCAACTGCATAGGCTAACAAAACACTTACAATGACACTTACATTGACGTCGCATTTCGTGTGCTACTGATAAGGCTGCCTGATGGCTGACGCAGACCTAAAAATTCGAATGCAACATTTTTGCATTCGAATGTGGATTTTTTTTTTTTTTTTCATTTGACGAATATTCGAAATTTAAAAAAAATTTTGACAGCCCTAGTTGGTTCTGTACCTGAAAATAAGAATGCGGGTTGCAAAACTACACTTAGCTGTAGGCCACATAAGAGAAATGCTGAGCAATTTTTATTTTAGTTATACAGGCCATATGTGGCATCTTAGCAACTTTTAACTTAAGTCTGTTGACCGGTCTGTTTGGGTGAATAGACAGTTTTGTATTATTATAGCACTGAAGCACAAGGCCATAAAATCTTTTTTGTGGCCTCAGCAGACGCTTTGGAATAATAACCATTTGTTTGTTGGAATAATATCCAGAAATTCAGGAACCCTGGATACAATGCAGATATTTTTAGTTCGATGGATGCAGTCACTGTTGCTCTTGGACGTCTCATGTTTCCTGTCTTTAAGCATTGCTGACTTTCTGAGTTGCTGTTGCTGTCTGCGGTCTGTTCCGTCTAAGAATCCGCTTCAGCTCACAGATGTTGGGCTTTTTGGTGAGGGCATTGCTGAAACATTCATATTTTTATTACAGCACTGCACTGGATCAAGCAAATGTCTGTCAGATGTGTGTCTGTCCTACTTTACCCATGTGCTCGCCAGCTTCAGCAGATGATGTAAAGGTCTTTTGTGTTTAAAGCTTCATTGTTTACCCCAAAGTTTGTAACCGTTACCAGGTTGGATCTAATTCATGACCTCAGTGTTTGGAACACAGCAAGGCATAGGAAGACAACCATTTGTCCATACTGTTTCCCCAGGAAGCACTGCTTGTTCAGGGGAAATAAAATCAATAAATCAATAAATAAATGCAAAAATACAAAGGAATTATTATTATTATTATATTTCACTAAAAGTAATCACCGTTGGTTCAGTCTTTATGAAGGATACCAGTTGTCTAGGGGCCTCCTGTGTGACCTGTTTTTGGCCAAAAAAAATGTAGTGTATATCTTCAAATGATGTGCAGAATATGTATTATTCTATGGTTAAAACAAAAATTCTAGATCTGGAGTGTGTTGATGATGCATCTGAAGCATGAAACTAGGTTAGTGTGTACTTTTACTTTGAAGACATTAGGGGCTTTTTACCCTGTTGTAAAGGGCTCATTGGTTATTCAGTGTAGCAACACATTTCCCATGCAAGGAAGTCAAAGAAGTTAAGGATTATGCTTTGAAAAGAAGTGAATTTGCATTAGCAGTTCACTGGCTTCAGTTTACAGGTTTGTTGGTGCATGCTTTCATTTATTAATATGAATGAATGAATGATGCTTTATATAGCGCTTTATTGTGTATTGTTGTACACCCAAAGCGATTTACAATCATGTGGGGGGTCTCTCCTCAACCACCAATAATCAAGCATTAAATGTACCTTTGCATTGAAGAATGCACCAAAAATGATAGTTTAACTCTGGGTGATGGCCAAACATATTACAATATTTTTTGCCATATGCGATAATATTTATCACAATAATATTTTACCATGAATGGGGAAGGAAATGCTTTTCACATGTTTGTTAGACCTTGAGAACGAATGTAAATATAATTTGTCACATTTAACTTCTTCAGCGTAAGCTACCTATTAAATTTCTGGATTCTGTTATTTAATACAAATTTATCATCAAAAATTGTGTCTAACAGGGGTCATACGGGCCCCGGGTCATAGTTGATCCATGATCCGTATGGATCAGGCCCCATGTTTCGCCATGCATGTGCAGATTAATTCGGCACACATTTGAGGATTAATTGCAAAGTTTAACCATCATTGACTTACATTTTATCATTTGTACGTGTTTTGTCTTGCCAGTTTACACATTCAAGTGATTTTAAAACCATTCCAGTGCAAGAAGAGCAAAAAAGAAATCAATTCGCTACTTGCGCAGTGTTTTTGCACGCACAGCTGCACACACAGAGGCTCTTTTGGTTATGTCTTGAGTTAAGGTGAGCAGTTGAGAAAAAAAATCAAATGTGCATCATTATATTGGATCCGTGCATCTGGCCTTAAAGTGACAGCAGCCTATAAATACCTGCTGCTGTCTGTGTCATTAATGTTAATCAAACATCAAAACACAGCTTTAACAAAGATGAATCTGTATTTAATTTATACAGTGAACACTATAGTGTTATTTTACATTTAGGCCTATAATTATTAAATTTCTGTACATGAATACTGTTAGACCTTACTTTAACTTTGTTATATTGTACTTATCTATGCTTATAATTTGTGTATTTGTTCTTATTTTTTACTGGCTGTTCACTTGCCCTTAATACCACTAGTTAAAGTACTTGAAATGTGATGAGTAATAAATGGAAAGCAAAGTTACATTAATCCATAAAGATAAAAATGTCCAGAGCTTATATCGTTACATTTTATTATGATCTTGATATGATATTGTTTATTTTTCAGCCCTATTAGAAAGTAGGGTTGTGACGTTGATAACATTTTCGTTAATTGACGTGAGACAACACCGGTAATACCAGTAAAACCGGGAGGTAGGTAGGTGGGGGTGGGGTTTGTGTTCGTTGGGGTTTTCCTTCTTTCCTTTGCTTTCCTTTGCTTTTAAATAGCTCACTCTCCTCAGGTGATAAATGAAATCTGACTCCTGCTGCTGATCTGTGGTGCGACTGTCATTCGGCACGCTGCATTGAGCAGCTACGTACAGTTTTTAATTGTAGTGTCTGTTCTCTAACTGAACTAAATTATTTTTATTACTATAAAAAAATCTAAACGACGGTGGGGGGCTGTGCACGGTGGGCATGTGATGTAACCAGTGTTGCGGCTTAACACAGGTAACACAATCAACACCGACTATCGCAGCAAGCCTATTAGCTAGCCATGTATTACTATTAAGTGGCTGTTTGCTGCATGCTTATTTGCTCATTTTGGTTAGTTAATTGCAGGTAGTAAGAGAGAGAGTTTGCGTCTTATTTTCCTGTATCAACTGTAACTTACTGTAAATGGAATGGACAGTTTAAAGTGCAACAAATAAGAATGAGAATTACAAAATCACACTATCTTCTCAATAATAGGAATATTTACCCGAAGATCGTGTGCAGTTATATACAAATCTTGTTGCTTTATACATAGATACTTAAGTTAGCTTTTATCGCTGTGTCTTTTAAATGAACCTAAATAGTATCTTGGATCCAATTTTGTTTGCGTGCCCTGCAGTATTTCTGTACCTGCAGCACAATCCTCACTAAAGGGTCTCAGACACAAGCAGTTCACTGCAAAAAAATAAACAGGCTGAATTTGATCTGTAATTTGAAGCTAGCATATCACGTCACATTAGAAGTGGACTTTCACAATCGACAATCAATTTCCCTGACATCTTGTTATTTTTTTCTCCTCCCCACCATCGCCTTTTCACTTCCTCCATTTCACGAAACCTCTCTTTTGTCTGTTTGTCTGCTCTGTCAGGGCTGGCTTCGGCCTCAAGAAACCTCTAAAGATGAATATGGTGAAGAGGATCATGGGGAGGCCGCGGCAGGAGGAGTGCAACCCACAGGACAACGCACTGGGACTCATGCACCTGCGCCGTCTCTTCTCCGAACTCTGCCACCCGCCGCGCCATATGACACAAAAAGAGCAGGAGGAGAAGCTCTACATGATGCTGCCTGTTTTCAACCGGGTGAGAGAGAGAGAGAGAGAGAGAGAGATGGCTGTTTACATAAGAGACAGCATCATCATCGTGTAATATGCATCAGGATAATGCAATTTATATATAAAAAAAATAGAGGCCGACGGAGAGACTTCTGAACAGTACAGCTTCACCAGCCAAAATGCATTAACAGAGAAGACAAATATAATAGACATCATTGTATTGCACTGCTAGTGCTAAATCACCCCTGGTGGCTTTGTTGTTTTTTGTTACCATTAAATGTAAGGATAGAGTATGATTAGTGACGATTACTAGCTCAGCTGGGCCAATAGATCAGATTTCTACTCACCCTGCTAATATTACAATGGCCCCACAATAAAAAATAAACATTTTTTTAGATCATATGCATTTTGCTGGAAAATCACAAAAAACAAATGTTTTTTGGGCTGCCATTTGGGCTCAAGGATGCATTTAATTGATCAAAACAATTAAAGACTTTTACATTGGCATTAAAGACTTTTACATTGTTAAAAAAGAACAGTTTCAAAAAATGCTTTTGAATTTTTTTTATTCATCAAAGAATCCTAATAAAATGTATCACAGTTTTCACAAAAATATTAAGCAGTACTACTATTTTCAGCATTGTTAATAATAAGAAATATGTCTTGAGCAGCAAATTAGCATATTAGAATGATTTCTGAAGGATCATGTGACACTGAAGACTGCTGAAAATTCAGCTTTGCCATTATTTTTGATCGAATAAATGCACCCTTGATAAGCATAAGAACCTTTCTAAAACATTAAATTATCTTACCGACGCTAAACTTACAGTAGTGTACGTGTGTGTGTACATGTACATGTGTATATATAGTCAATACATTTCATAGAACGTAAGAACCTTAAAACATTTTCTTCTTTTACAGACAAATCACTAGATTCTCCTGAATAAAAAAAAAATAACTCCCTGTCTTTAAACCAAATTATTCACACTATATTTACTGTTAAGCTTCAACAATAAGAAGAAGAGAACCAGCAGTTACAAGTGCTTCATTTACAAAGGCAAAGTAGTCGTTATGCCATCAAGAGACTCTCATAGGCTGGAGAAGAGCATGATGGTGCTAATCATCCAGCATTGATTATACAGAAACATTGCATATGACCTCAGCTACAGCTCATCATTGTGCATGAAAGAGCACTGCCCTGCTGCAGCCTGTGTGCATTTGGAGAGCACTTGTAAAAGTGGGATGAAACGGGCTCTCTATTTACAAGCTGACATATTTGATGAAGTGTTATAGACCCATATGAAATGCTGCATATTAGTATGAACACCGCAGTATGTCTCTTGATTTAGATTTCTTCAAACAGCAAGAGGCCTGACAATCTGGATTTGAATATGACAATCTTTCACCTCTTATAACTGTTTGTGCTTTATACTAACTTGATTGGACACTCAGTTGCTGCTATGAAAGCTAAATAACACTATAACTGAGCGTACTGCTCTTCAGACATCAAGGGAGTGACTGTTGATTAAACCTCAGCTTTAACTCAACAGGTTCCCATCTTTGTAGAGGGAAAAAAGATCTGCATGAAAAGAAGGTTGTTTGAGCTCTATAAATGGTGTTTTTTGTGTGTGACAGGTGTTTGGGAACGCTCCACCGAACACAATGAATGAGAAGTTTTCAGACCTGCTGCAGTTCACCACTCAAGTGTCCAGGCTGATGGTGACTGAGATCAGACGGAGAGCGTCCAATAAATCCACAGGTACTTCAACTTCAAACTACTCGAAGATCCTGTTAACACACAAATATGTATTACACAGACCTGGTCCGATCTATTTCATTGTAAGAAAAAATTGTTAGCATGACAAAAGTCATTACAGAATCAGTTATTTTTGAAGCTTAAAGTAAACATTAAAATTCTACCACATTTACTTTTTTTTTTTTATGGATGCCAAACATTGTTTTCTCTTATTTTGTCTGGCTACTTTCTGATATGTAATGCTGACTTTTCCCAATCTATTCAATTCCTGATGGATTAAAACGAGTCTCACGCTTTTTTCCCTCTCGTTTTTATATATGATTTAACTCGGAATTTGGACGTTATATATATATATTTTTAATCATGCCATATGACTTACACAAGGTAACAAGTTTAGAACAACAAGAACAATAAAAATAAGACAAACACCATAAAAACAATAAAATAACCAAAACCAAAGGCCAGAGGGAAATAAAAAATTAGATAATTAAAATTAACAATAAATTATGGTTTAACATTGAAAGCAATTTTTGACTTTGTTTTTTTATGTCCATCAAAGACAAAACATATGAATTATAGTCTTTAAGAAAAATTGACAGTAGCGGTTTCTTACCCAAAAGTTTGCATTTGTGTATAAAAAAAAGTTGCCAAGTATAAACATAAGTTAAATTGTTTGCAAATAGCAATTCACACTGATGCTAAAAAATATATAGATATTTTTTTTTACATTTTTTTATTAAATTTTTATTTTAAAAGTGACTTAATATAAGTTGTATCCACTATTTATAAATAAGTTTTTATAGACATTACATAGACATAAAAGTTGTGTTCCTGAAGAAGTTTATACCTGCTTATACCTGTGCATTCTTGCTTTGATCAGTGAGGAAGACTCAGTCTGGGCTTTATGGTCTCGGGAGTTACTCTGCTGTCAACACAGTGTGTATTGGCAGCTTGTCTTGGCACATGATGTACCGTAATGTTTATTTTTGGTGATGTAATCCACCGTGAACGCATATGCTGCATAGATCCACAAACACCAGACTGAGCATCTTATGACACAAAGGAGTAAGTGCTTAGGCATTTTAGGCAAACTATTGTCATAATACTGATACAATGAAAAGCATAATGTAAAACGTTAATATTGTATTTATTCTATATGTGAGATTTATTTTATTTTTAATGACATTTGATTTCAAAATGTCATTATATGATTACATTTTCGTTGGAGCAGAAAACAACATTCTTCTGAGTAAATCTTATCCTTTGTGAATTCACTGAGGTGTCACGATATTGCATCTCAAAAACAGGCAGCGATGGATGAATGAGAAACGAAACTGCCTGCATGTCATCACCTCTAATTGACTCAGCGTCCTTCCCCAGATGAGGCCAGTCACACACAAGCTGACGTGTGAAAATGGATTTGATCCACATGCGCAGACTGTTTAACGCATCAGTGATTCTGTTTGTGTGTGTGCTCCTCCCACAGAGGCGGCCAGCAGAGCCATTGTGCAGTTTCTGGAGGTAAATCAGAGCGAGGAGGCGAGCCGGGGCTGGATGCTCCTGACCACCATCAACCTGCTGGCCTCCTCAGGACAGGTCTGTGTGTTTAATGTGCAGCAGATGAAACGATCACAAGACGCATTTACAAATGCACTAGAAAAATATATACAGAGACATAAATACACCATTTGTAAACCAAAACTGTGTTTGGAAACCAGCCATGCTAGGTTGGCCTTTCAGCACCCGGCACTTGTTCATACTATCAGCGGCTCTATTGCTTAAATCTAGAAACAGCAGTTGTAGTTTGTTGAGTGTGTGCTTGGTTCACAACTGAGCAAGACCCCTTATGTCGAGGTGCACAGACCTCAGTTATCAGAGAGAGAAACGGCCTTCTCCTAGATCGAGAAACTGGAGAACTTCATGGTGGATGGAAGGATTAGTATGGTGACATTTCCTTAAGTATGTTTTTAGCCCGTGATGGATTTAACCAAGAGCAGGAGAAAGGAGGAATATTCCTCACTCTATAGTGAAAGATGGCTTCTCCAACAATGGTCACAGACCTGAAGACTAAACTTCCAGCTTGTGGCAATGTGAGGATGGTGTCATGGAGGATATGTTTCTCAGACTATTGCTTGCTCAAGCCTACACAGCTTGAAGCCAAGATTACCAAATCATGGGTCACTTTGAAGCCCAGTTTGAAGTGAAAAGTTGTGGTCAGTTACACACCACATAAATGATCTCCAATTACTAGTTGTTTTTCTCACCCTGAAGCACTTCCTCTCTGTATTGAGAGGCCAACATGTATCGATCAAACAGACAGTGCGCCTGTCATGTCATTCATTAGATGAGGAAGGACTGATCCGACTCTCATCCAAAGCTCTTTGAAGTCAGCCAACGGAATAAAGGTGCAGATTTCCCGGCCAGGGGAGGTCATTATGTCAGGAACTCTTGACTAAGTGCCCAAAGTGTATCTCATATATTAGAGCACTTTGGAAGGGCCGATGTAGATTTTATGCATCACAATGAGAATCTGACATCTCATGAAATCTATTTATTAGCAGCTGGTGCTGGATATTTTCTATGTCTTTTACAGTGCATTGTGGGGGTTACAGTATAGCCATGCCATGTAGTAGTAAATGGTTTCCGGGTACTCTGTGTATTTACTCTTGTTAGAAGGGCATGTTTACCACATGGGCATTATTAAAGGGCTGTCTGTGGATGTCCCATAGTCATGTGTTGTATTGACTGAATGGGAATGTTGTAACTACTGTTCCCATAAGAATAAAAACCATTTAAGTTCTTTCGCTTATGAAAAGTGCTGTGGCAGTACCATGGTACAGCCATGAACATGATATTCACATACTCCAAGGTGATTCAAATAATAATTCCTCAAATGTTCACCAATGCAGCATTTATTAGATTAAAAAACAGTAATATTGTGAAATATTATTGTGATTTAAAATATGCCTTTTCTATTTTAATACTTTTTCAAATGTCATTAATTCCTTTGATGGAAAAGCTGAATATTCAGCACCATTACTCCAGTCTTCAGTGTAACATGATCCTTCAGAAATCATTCTTCACAACAAAAGTGTGTATGCTATTTTAATTAGCCCTTTTTTAATGTTCATGTCTCCTTGTGATTTTGTAAGGTTATTTTCCTGCAGTGCAAGTTGTTTGTGTTGGCCTGTTTTAATAAAGTAGGATCTCATTAATTGGCTGAAGTTTTGCCAACATGCTCAAATCTCTCTTAAGTCTGTTGTTGGCTCTAATTTTATTTTGGTTCATATAATCCTTAAGGATCATTTACCTCGATAAGACACTGAAAAGAACTTGTGCACATAAAGATGGAATGCAGAAGTGTAGATTTCCTGTGGCATAATAAGTGCCCTTTCTCTTACACACACACACACAGACTGTCTATTTTTACTTTTTCTACTCCCTCTTTCTGCTTTACTAAGAATATATAATGAACACACTTTCTTGTGTATATGCTGATAAAATCTCCGTGCTGCTATGCACATAAAACACATTTCCACCACCTAAATGCAGACCTCTTGAAATGCGTATCCAGTGATATGGCACAATTTAGAGCTTGTCATAATCCAGAGGATGAGCTTGAATTAATTGGACATGCACCATTATCTTTTCAGGCAGGAGGCTCTAGTTTTGAGAGGTGAAACATGTTTTTGAGGGGTGAAATATGTTTGTATTCTAAGCTGTGAGTTGCAGGCATAAACTGGTGCTCTTGGCAACACCCCCCGCCCCTCAGAAACAACAAAGGTCTTTTCTTTTCTCTCTGTAAGGACGCCCTTCATGCTCTACATTCCCAATGCACCCTCAATTCACCCTCACAGACGCCGTCTCTTATGTCTCATCGTCCCCCACGTTGATGGTCTGCGAGAAGTCCTCCTGCTCGTTCCCTCTTCTATTGGGGTTTTTCTGTCTGACATCATCATTTAGTGACTGTAGGTGTCATGTACACTTGACCCTAGACCACATTGTCCACTAGCATAGCTTCAGTGTTGAGGTTATCTACCACAGAGGGAGTTATTTCGAGTCTTGACCGTCGGCCATAACGGTCCAACTGGTTCAGTTTCTCTCACACATGGACCTTTTGCCTAGGAGGCTTTATTAGTGTAACCGTCTTTAAAGGGGTCATATGATGCGATTTCATGTTTTCCTTTGTCTTTGGAGTGTTAAAGGGATAGTTCACCCAAAAATGAAAATTCTGTCATTAATTACTCACCCTCATGACGCTCCAAACCCGTAAGATCTTCGTTCATCTTCGGAACACAAATTAAGATATTTTTGATGAAATCTGAGAGCTCTCAGACCCTTCCATAGACAGCAACGCAACTGTAATGTTCCCAGGTCCAGAAACGTAGTAAGGACATCGGTAAAACAGTCCATGTGACATCAGTGGCTCAACTTAAGTTTTGCGAAGCTGCAAGAATACTTTTTGAGGTTAAAGAAAACTATTTATTCAACAATTCTTCTCCCCCGAGTTACGTCTTTCGCCATTTTAGAGAGTTTCACAATGCATACGCACGCTTTCCCCTAAGCGTAAACAATGCTGATTACATCGATTACGCTCTTGGGTACTCTCCAAAATGGCAGAAAACGTAACTTGGGGGAGTAGAATTGTTAAATAAATAATTTTTGTTTTCTTTGCGCTCAAAAAGTGTTCTCGTAGCTTCGCAAAACTGAAGTTGAGCCACTGATGTCACATGGACTGTTTTACCGATGTCCTTACTACGTTTCTGGACCTGGGAACATTACAGTTGCGTTGCTCTCTATGCAGGGTCTGAGAGCTCTCACATTTCATCAAAAATATCTTAATTTGTGTTCCGAAGATGAACGGAGGTCTTACGGGTTTGGAACGACATGTGGGTGAGTAATTAATGACAGAATTTTCTTATTGGGGTGAACTAACCCTTTAAAAGCTGTTCGTGCATACAGAAGATCAAAAAAGTCGCAAAGATTAAAGTCTCAAACCCAAAGAGATATTCTTTATAAAAGTGAACGTTCAGCCACGCCTTCCTAAAACGCCTCGTTCAAACACGCCCACATGTCTACGTCACGATGTGGGAAGATTTGCATGACACTGCCCAAATGTATATGCAAAGAAAGAAGGTGTAACTTTGTTTCCGCTGCCGTCATGTTCTGGAGACGCTGTGTTTCGTTGCGAAAGCCAAACTACTTTGTTTGGCCTTCCAACACAACTAGAAGTCAGTGGTTAAGTTTTATTTACAACACTGTTGCAGAACAGTACAACCCAAATATTTGAGTGTGTGCAGCGCATTTTATGGAAGAAAGTTTCCTGAACCTGGTAAGGCATAACATTTGTCACACGCTTGAGGTATTTGGCCAATCACAGAGCACTAGATAGCTGGCCAATCAGAGCACACCGTGCTTTTCAGACCGATGAGCTTTGTAAAAATTGACCGTTTCAGAAAGGCGGGGCATAGAGGAGCAACAATAATGTACAGTATGTGGAAAATAATAATGTGTTTTTTTAACCTTATGCGCATAAACGCATTGCATTACACCAAATACCCCAAATAATGTTATTTTTAGCAACGTCATATGACCCCTTTAATTTTTTTCCAAAACCTCTTAATTGAATGTAAGCGACTATTAATGTTGCTAAATAGTGGGTGTTTTGATTTGACATAGAGTGGTATGATTTATTTTTTGTGCACGTAATGTGTTTACTGGAATGAAAATGCAGAAGTGATTCATCTTCCGTTTCGCTGTCTCATTCTTATGAAAGCAATGAATGTGACATCCATGCATCCTCCATTAAGGCTTGGCACTGCTGGCACTGATTCTTTGGCATTTTCTTAAGACCTGTTCATACCAAGATAATATATATATAAACAAAAATGTATACTTTTATTCAGCAAGTATGCAATTAACTTGATCAAAAGTGACACTTATAATGTTACAAAAAAAGCAAATAGTAAATGCTGATCTTTTGAATTTTTTATTCTTCCTGGGAAAAAAAAAATATTAGGCAGCAGAACTGTTTTCAACAATGATAATTTACATCGATTACGCTCTTGGGTACTCTCCAAAATGGCAGAAAACGTAACTTGGGGGAGTAGAATTGTTAAATAAATAATTTTTGTTTTCTTTGCGCTCAAAAAGTGTTCTCGTAGCTTCGCAAAACTGAAGTTGAGCCACTGATGTCACATGGACTGTTTTACCGATGTCCTTACTACGTTTTTGGACCTGGGAACATTACAGTTCCGTTGCTGTCTATGCAGGGTCTGAGAGCTAAATATCTTAATTTGTGTTCCGAAGATGAACGGAGGTCTTACGGGTTTGGAACGACATGTGGGTGAGTAATTAATGACAGAATTTTCTTATTGGGGTGAACTAACCCTTTAAAAGCTGTTCGTGCATACAGAAGATCAAAAAAGTCGCAAAGATTAAAGTCTCAAACCCAAAGAGATATTCTTTATAAAAGTGAACGTTCAGCCACGCCTTCCTAAAACGCCTCGTTCAAACACGCCCACATGTCTACGTCACGATGTGGGAAGATTTGCATGACACTGCCCAAATGTATATGCAAAGAAAGAAGGTGTAACTTTGTTGCCGCTGCCGTCATGTTCTGGAGACGCTGTGTTTCGTTGCGAAAGCCAAACTACTTTGTTTGGCCTTCCAACACAACTAGAAGTCAGTGGTTAAGTTTTATTTACAACACTGTTGCAGAACAGTACAACCCAAATATTTGAGTGTGTGCAGCGCATTTTATGGAAGAAAGTTTCCTGAACCTGGTAAGGCATAACATTTGTCACACGCTTGAGGTATTTGGCCAATCACAGAGCACTAGATAGCTGGCCAATCAGAGCACACCGTGCTTTTCAGACCGATGAGCTTTGTAAAAATTGACCGTTTCAGAAAGGCGGGGCATAGAGGAGCAACAATAATGTACAGTATGTGGAAAATAATAATGTGTTTTTTTAACCTTATGCGCATAAACGCATTGCATTACACCAAATACCCCAAATAATGTTATTTTTAGCAACGTCATATGACCCCTTTAATTTTTTTCCAAAACCTCTTAATTGAATGTAAGCGACTATTAATGTTGCTAAATAGTGGGTGTTTTGATTTGACATAGAGTGGTATGATTTATTTTTTGTGCACGTAATGTGTTTACTGGAATGAAAATGCAGAAGTGATTCATCTTCCGTTTCGCTGTCTCATTCTTATGAAAGCAATGAATGTGACATCCATGCATCCTCCATTAAGGCTTGGCACTGCTGGCACTGATTCTTTGGCATTTTCTTAAGACCTGTTCATACCAAGATAATATATATATAAACAAAAATGTATACTTTTATTCAGCAAGTATGCAATTAACTTGATCAAAAGTGACACTTATAATGTTACAAAAAAAGCAAATAGTAAATGCTGATCTTTTGAATTTTTTATTCTTCCTGGGAAAAAAAAAATATTAGGCAGCAGAACTGTTTTCAACAATGATAATATTAATAAATGTTTCATGAGCATTTTTCAGTGTTAACAATGATCTTGACCCATTGTGTTTCTGACCCATTGCGAGTAGACAAGCTTTTGTGTGACAGCCTGTGCACACTGCTGCAGACTGGACCTGCAGTGAAAAAGTGCTTGGGTTTTGTGTGTGTGTGTGTGTGAGAGAGAGCGAGAGAGAGAGAGAACTATTAGTTGGATTGTGCTGAATCCTACCACTTCCTGACTTGCTTTAAAAGCAGCTGATGGGATTTTATCCTCTTCATCAGTGTTTCATTGGCACTGGCAGCAGGATCCTGCTCTGATTAGTGTCAGTGTCCACCTGAGCACCTTTAGACATCACTGATCTCCCATATATAGTTATCAGGGTTTTACAAAGGACCTGAGATCCAAACTGTATAATGAGATGCATTGCACAAAACATGTAAACACCAAGTTTAGGTTTACTGTATATCTTCTAGCCCTTTATCAATAGACATAGTTTATTGGATTTAGACAAAAAAGCTTGTAATTATTTACATTACTGTTCAGTTTATTTTAAAATATGTATTCTATTTAAAATCAAAATATATTAATATAGAAAACAGTTCAATTTTAAGAATATGTCACAATGTTGCTGTTTTTACTGTATTGTGGATCAAACAATTGCAGCTTTGGTGAGCATAAGAGACATCTTTCAAAAACATAAAAAATCTTACCGACCCCAAACGGTACATACCGGTACATGTGTGTAATCATTTGTAGTAACAGACAATAGGTTATTCAAGTAAAGGAAGTTGACGTTTACACCTAAGACTTTTTATAATCCTTGTTGTACCGTTCAGTAAGCTGTCTAATGATGATGATGAACATGTTTTAAACATGGTGTTTCATGGGATTACATCAAAACAAACTGACATTTAATCCAAAGTGACTTATTGTTTTTATTTTCCTCCTCTCTAGTCTATCTGTTAACAGTATTGTAGAATATTAAACAGGTTGCCAGTTATTTGTAGTAGCCAGTTCTTGAATACAGAAAAAAACATGATCTGCTCATTATCTGAATTTGATTCCCTCCCCTTCTGTGTTTCTACAGAAAACAGTGGACTGTATGACCACCATGTCGGTGCCCTCCACTCTGGTGAAATGTCTATATTTGTTTTTTGACCTGCCCCACATGCCTGAGGTTCCTGCTGCCACCCAGACTGAGCTTCCTCTGGCGGACCGCAGAGCTCTTTTACAGAAAGTCTTTGTCCAGGTCGGTCTGTCTTTAGGAACAGCATTTTCTCCACAAAATACCCATAAGACATACATATTGAGACCAACTGTGACTTTTTCTTCTGATTGTTCTGCTCAGATCCTGGTGAAGCTGTGCAGTTTTGTGTCTCCGGCAGAAGAGCTGGCCCAGAAGGATGATCTACAGCTGCTCTTCAGTGCCATCACCTCCTGGTGTCCCCCCCACAACCTTCCCTGGAGGAAGAGCGCTGGAGAAGTGCTTACCACCATTTCCCGACACGGCCTCAGCGTCAACGTCGTCAAGTACATCCACGGTAAGTTGCAATGATGATGATTTGACTTCTTTCACTGTGGTTCTTTGCCGTTGCTGTGCATGGATGCATAATACTGACAACGTTTTGCTGCTGGCATCTTATGAACCCTTATAGCATTTTAACCTTACATAACCAGTTAGTCACTGTTGTGCTTTTAGTGTTTTTAGAGGTCAATGTCTGGTGTTTGCAGACGTTTTTGCCCAGAATTGTTACGCTCAAATCTAGGCCCTTAAGAATCTATAATCAAGTCTTACTTTCTGAAAACACACGGATTTAAGTCCTTTGAAGTATGTGAATGTGGAAATGCTGTCTTTAGGCATTTATTGGTTTACTGCCAAAAAAAATGTAAACTGCTTAAAAATTCACAACCAACGTGAAAGTATTTGTTCTGGCTCTCTCTTGCAGAGAAAGAGTGCTTGTCAACGTGCATCCAGAACATGCAGCAGTCAGATGACCTCTCTCCTCTGGAGATTGTGGAGATGTTTGCCGGGCTCTCCTGTTTTCTGAAGGATTCAAGTGATGTCTCTCAGACTCTCCTGGATGACTTCCGCATGTGTCAGGGCTACAACTTCCTCGTAGATCTTATGATCAGGTGACTGATTTGTAATTATTTCTTGCACAAATCTTCAGGGTATGTACTGGTGCATCTCAATAAATTAGAATGTCATGGAAAAGTTCATTTATTTTGTCTAATTTATTGAGATGCACCTGTATGTGAAGAATATATGTGGTCATTGTCTTAAAATAAACCCAGACAGGAGGAGGGTTATTTTGCAGTAATGATCAGCTGACTGTACGTTTTCAGACGTATTACATGAATCCTTACAAAATAAATCAATATTTCATGCTCATTCACAGTATGTTCAAAAGTTTGGAACGATAGTGATCCTTCAGAAATCATTCTAATATGCTGATTCGGTGCTCAAGTAATATTTCTTATTATCAATTGAAAACAGTTGTGCTGCTTAATATTTTTAAGGGTTTATTGATTAATTGAAAGTACAATAAAAGAATAAAACAAATTTTTTGAAATAAACATCTTTTGTTACATTATAAATGTATTTACTGTCAATTGAGTGTGTCCTTGTTGAATGTGATTTATAAAAATAAAAAAAACCCTACTGACCCTAAACTTTAGTGTATTTGAGTTATTTCATTATCTTGCTTATATGCTTACTTAAAGTGTTAGCTTAAAGGGATAGTTCACCCAAAAAAAGGAGTAATTTAAAGGCAATAAGTATAGTTCTTTTGAATTCTGATATGACTGAGAAGTGATATTCTCTGTTATACTTGCTGTATATTAGGTTGGAGCAGGCCAAAGAGGAGGAATCCAAAGATGCTCTAAAGGACCTGGTGAACCTGGTGACCGCTCTGACCACATATGGTGTCAGTGAGCTGAAGCCAGCTGGTCTCACCACTGGAGCACCCTTCCTGCTTCCAGGTTTTGTGGTTCCACAGCCTTCTGGAAAAGGTCAGCCCTCCATAAATTGACATACACTTGACTCGTAACTTATGTCACTGCACAGCTGGGTGTGAAAGTTGGTGATATGAAATTCCGGGGTATGTTGAACTTTGGCGAGGAAGCCTAGAGAAATTGACGTCTTTACAGCATTCAGATGGCAAGTTTACAATGTTGAGGCTTAAGTGGCCTGCATTACTAAAATACTTAAGAGATTTAGTGTGCTTCTATATTTGCAGTCATTCACATTTTTGCATCAGCTGGGATTCTTTAAATGACAGTGACTCTTTAATGATTTTATTTATTTATGTTTCATTTCATTTTTAAAATTGTTTAGATTTTTCTTTTCTTTTAGTTTATTTATTTATTTTTTATAAAAAAATATGGAAATGACCCTTTTTTTAAGAGCTTGCAGGATGAATTAACCCAACTGTAATCAATGGCTGTCTAAACCACTGAGTGAGATTAGCAGTTTTCTTCCTCTCGGCGTTTTCATTTATTAACCACCTCATCTGTGTCTGCTGCTGCCTCCCTTCGTCAGCTAGATTAGTCTTTTAGGCACACAAGGAGAAGAAGGCCCTGCGGTTTCTGAGCGAGAATTAAAACATTAGTGTTCTCTGGCAGTAAATGGCATTAATTGGTCAGGAGGAGGCAAACGGCAGACACCTACTGTGTAATCTGGTTAGGTTATTTGTTTGGCTTGTCTTATGCCTCGCAAGCGCTATTAAATGCTGTAATTAAAATAATGGTGCCAGATTATGTTGTTTATGTATCCAGTCACATCAAGACTTCCTCTTTTCCTACAAGCCAATCACAGAGACCGTTTATTCCCTACTTTGTGGTGTCATTTTCACTCAGCCATCAATAGCACTCAAATAGCATAGAGTTCATAAAGGTTGAATGGACAAGAATACATTTTTAAGGGTTGCGGGGTTGAATGATTAGCTTGTCTTGCTCTATGATCTGATGGCTGGATATTCATAGTTAATATTGCATATTTTTTCTTGAAGCCTAGTTGTACAGCATAATTACTCTTCAGAAAGACCCAATGTAGAAATAGATACCAGTAATGAATTTTGTGCTCCGCGACATCCCACAAATTGAGGAAAAGAAACATGCAGCAAGGGTGGCTATTCAGCAGTGCTGTAGTTGAGACCAGCTCATTTGAGTCCAAATCAAGACCGATGCCAGAAGAGGGTTGAGTCAGTGTCAAGACCGAGTCCACATGCTCCCAAGTCCATGACAACACTAAGACCATGAAAATATGGTCTTGGCCTTGAGTCTGAGTCTTAGGGTGCTTGTTTCGGAACCTGGCATGTTTCCCCCTTTAGCTCGGTTAGTTTGGGCATGTGTGAACAAGGCAATCACGCTCGGATCCACGCCAAAACAATTGGTCCGAGATCGCCTGAACGAGGTGGTCTCAGCTCGATTGAAAACGAACTCTGGAGCGGTTCGGTTGTAGTGAGAAAGCAATCCGATCTAACGGACCAACGAACCAGGCTATATCACAATGTATAATGGGTAATTGCGTAAGTTCTGTAAAAAGCATTAGCTTTGTTGTTTTGCTAATACTTCAAAATGAACCATGTGAATGTCTGTGGGTGAGCACGTCTTCGCCATTCAAAATCAAAGCGCACTTTTTCATTTTATAATGCCGTCTTATTGCTCTTCTTCATAGTATGTGCATTTTAAAAATGTTTTCCCGATGAATCCTGCTCAAAGTGATAAATTATAGGGGTCATATGACGTTGCTAAAAAGAACATTATGTTGTGTATTTGGTGTAATGCAATGTGTTTATGTGGTTTAAGGTTTAAAAAACACATTATTTTCCACATAATGTACATTATTGTTGCGCCTCTATGCCCTGCCTTTCTGAAGCGCGTCGAATTTTACAAAGTTCATCGTTCTGAAAAGCGAGGTGTGCTCTGATTGGCCAGCTATCCAGTGCGTTGTGATTGGCTGAATACCTCAAGCGTGTGATGGAAATGTTACGCCCCTTAACACACTGTGATTCCGTCTCCCGGCAACCAATAAACCAATAAAACCCATTACAAACGAGGCATTTGTTGCATCCAGTGGGGACATAATTACCTATTATAATGACTTATACTGTGTTTTTACACGTTGCTTTGTGTATCGTGCCGCGTAAACATAAAACCATCTCTGCATTTGTGATCTGAGAAATGACAAACAAAAAGCACTACTCTCGTTTGAATTATCAGTGGCAAATTCTTTAAATATAAAAAATGTACTTGCAGGCTGTGAGTCAGAAGCCCAGACTGTACTTGCAAAGTTGGAACTGCCCCACTTTATATAACAACCTTTGAGCACAGACCCATTGTATGCTACTCTGCAGGTTCAGTAAACAGTCTTCCATAAAATGCGTCACACAGCGTCACACACGATGGGCTAGAGTGAGCGGCGGCGAGCTTGAGAACGGCGCAGCCGGCGGATTCGGCAAAGGAGCGGGCTTGCGGCAACCACATGTGACGACCCCGGGCTGGACTCTGCTTCGTCTACGGTGAAAGCCGATCCGGCAATCCACAGTGCGAAGTTGATGTATTTCGTCAGCGACCAGCACGGATCATCTCTAGGCATGACGAAGCAGATATCATCCTCTTTTGGAAGGCCAACCAAAGTAGTTTCGCTTTCACAACTAAACACACAGCATCACCACAACATGGCGCTGGCGGCAACAACAATACTACAGTGAGAATAAAAGTTACACCTTCTTTCTTTGCGTGAACATTTGGGCAGTGTTATGCAAATCTTCCCACACAGTGACGTAGACATGTGGGGGCGTGTTTAAACGAGCCGTTTTAGGAGGGCGTGGACAAGTCTTAACTTTTATAAAGAATATCTCTTTGGATTTGAGACTTTAGTCTTTGCAACTTTACAGATCTTCTTTATGCACCGAGAGCTTGTAACACTCCAAAGAGAAAGGAAACATTGAAATCGCAACATATGACCCCTTTAATATAACGACATCAACGACATCTAAAAAAAACAAAACAATAAGCCCGCGAAGCTGTTGTCGTTCCATCCTGACAGATGACAGCTGTGACAAGCTAGTGGAATCCCGGAAAATAAAGCGTGAAACTTTGACCAACGAGAGAACAGTTTACTCGCGCGTGACTTGTATTAACAAATTTGGTCCGTTTAGAAACATTACCGTGTGAAAGCGAACCGCACCAAGAATAAAAAGCAACATTGTAATAATTGTAATCCCTGTTTCGGAACAAAGCAATCTATCTACAGGTGTGAAAGCACCCTAAGAATGTATTTGCATGGTCTTGGTCTTCTGGGCTCTGACTCGAATGAGCTGGTCTCGATTATGACACTGTTATGATTATTATGTGACTTACTGTACAAGACTTACTGACCTCTTGTTAATAACATAATTATTTGGAAGTTGTCATGAATATACACTTCTGCATTCAGATTGAGAGGAAATTAAAACATGTGAGGTTGTGTGTTACTAGCTTTGCAAGAGTCCACCAAAGTTCACTGGAGTTTCTAGAGTTTCTAGAGTTTCATACTGTCATTAGGACTGTGGTGCTAGTATGCTGCTAAATGAATAGTTCAGCCAAAAATGCACATACCTTTGCTATTTACTCACTATTTATGTTATCTACTTACTATTTACTCACTCCTCATCATCATATTTACTATACTACTTTATTATCGTTGTTCCAAACCTGTATGACTGACTTTCTTCTGTTGAACACAACAGGAGCCATTAGAATAATGCATTGGTTATTTTTTGTCTGTTAACTGTTTACTCATGAGTTCGATTACTTTTTTTTTTTTTTTTCAGGCCACACGGTCAGAAACATCCAGGCTTTCTCTGTGCTTCAGAATGCCTTCTTGAAGGCCAAGAGTGGTCGATTAGCACGTATGATCCTTGAAGCCATTGCTAACATCTACGCCGCAGACTATGCCAACTATTTCATCTTAGAGGCGCAGCATGCGCTATCGCAGTTTGCAGACAGAGTAGCAAAACTACCGGAGGTGCAGTCCAAGTACTTCGAGGTACTGGAGTTTGTCGTCTTCGGACTTAATTATGTACCATGCAAAGAGCTTTTTAGCGTTAGCGTGCTATTAAAGTCGAGCACCTCTTACGGATGCAGCATCACAGCCACCCGCACTCTTCTCAAACTCGGGCGCCACCACCCTGTCTTCAGTGATGTCTTCCGTGAAGTTGGACTGCTGGAAGTGCTAGTTAACCTGCTCCACAAATATGCAGCGCTGCTGAAAGACCCAACGCAAGCCCATGGCGAGCAGGGTAATCATTTGTGAACTAAAATTAAATAATATATATTTGTAAGGGTTATTTAAAGGGATAGTTCACCCAAAAATGAAAATTTGATGTTTATCTGCTTACCCCCAGGGCATCCAAGATGTAGGTGACTTTGTTTCTTCAGTAGAACACAAACGAAGATTTTTAACTCAAACCGTTGCAGTCTGTCAGTCTTATAATGGAAGTGAATGGGAATCACGGCTTTGAGTCAAAAAACAACATACACAAACAAAACCAAATTAATCCCTGCGGCTCGTGACGATACATTGATGTGTAAAGACACGAAACGATCGGTCTATGCAAGAAACTGAACAGTATTTATATCATTTTTTCCTCTGATGCACTGCAATGTCTGAACTGTCCTGAGCGGGTCCTCGACACAGCCGGCGCGTGACGCGTCGTCGTCTTCTTCTTGCTTAACGGTAGATTGCAGACTTATAAGTGCATTACCGCCACCTTTCTCTCAAATGGACCATTGATACTCTATCTACAATCTCAATTAGAACTGTGCTCAGGACAGTTCAGACATTGCAGTGCATCAGAGGTAAAAAATTATA